TGACGGTGCGGTTTTGTCACCGCGCTTTAGTCACACGCGCTTTAGTCTACCGCGGTTTTGTGGTGGAACCGAATTGCAGTGTTGCATTAGTGATACTGGAAGGTTGGCAACACATTGAGGTTTGACTCAGAGGAATCTTAAGATCATTCCATCTCATGAAAATTGAAATCCATGTCTAGAGTGGCCTTGAGAGGGAAAGGCCTCTATCAATTCTTTTTTTAAAAAAATATGTTTTATTAGTACATTTTTTCATTAAAAACATAAAAAATTCCATGTCTATCGGAACAGCATGTTGTGTGGGCATAATTAACTTTTTAAGTAAAGGTACAACAATAACCACAATCATATTAGCAATCTTAATAAACATATCAATATTAATCATAAAATAATAAAACCATTACTTTTTCAATCTTGCAATATTTTCAATACAAATTTTTATTATCTCTTTGAATTCTTTTTAAATTCTAATCTCTGTTTTTGTTCATTAACCAATGGTAAAATATATCCCATGTTAAAAAGTATTCTGTTTCTTCCTTTTTTTAAATCTTAAATCTATTCATCTCAGCACATTCTAATATATTTTTTATTACACTTTCATCTGTTAGGACCTCATCATTTTCCCATTGTTGTGCAAACACTATTCTTGCTGCTATTACTACTTGCAAAATTAAATATGTATTCCCTTCATTATACTGTTCTGGAAGTATCCCCAGCAGAAATATTTCTGGTTTCAAATCTATGTGTTATTTTATTATTTTTTCTAACCAAGTATATATTTTAGTCCAGTATTTTTTTGCCTTTGAGCATGTCCATCACATATGATAATATGAACCTGGTGTTTGATTACACTTCCAACATTTAGCTGATACGTTTTCAAACATCTTTGCTAACTTCGCTGATGATAAATGCCATCTATAAAACATTTTGTATAGCTTTTCCTTATAGACTTTTGACATTGTTAATTTACAGTCTCTATCGTACAATTTCTGCCATTTGTCTAATTCTATTGAGTAACCAAAGTTTTTAGCCCATCTTATTGTTTCTTTCACTTGCTCTTCTTCCATTTTAATACTCAATAAGTAGCTATACATTTTTAAATTAATTTTTCATCTCCCTAGTAATATCTGGTCTAGTTCTGTTGGTCCTTTATAGAAACAATTGCATTCTTGCATCTTTCTCATATCTTGATTGTATTTGCATGTATGGCCACTATGCTAAATCAATCCCTTTATTAATCAATTCTTTTTTAGATTTGAGTTCCCCCTTTATCATTCAAAATGTCCTTATACCTTACAATTTTCTTTCCGTATTAATCCCATTCGGATGAATCAGTGCCTCCATTGTGGAGAGCCAGACTGGTATTTTTATATAAGGTCTTTCTTTAATTTTCCCCCATACTAACAGTAGTGCATTTCTAACAAGGTGCCTTTGAAAATATCCATGTGTTTTATTTTTCCCATACCATAAAAGGCCTCCATCAATTCTCTGCTGTTAGAAGCAATTTTGTGGAGCCTTCAGTCTGAAAAGGCTAGCATCTCCTATGCTCTCTTGAGGAGACCAATTTCTGCTTCATTAGTGGGCGGTGATTTTGAGCAATCATCTACGTAAAAATCTTTCTCTACAAAGTGTCTTGACGTCTAGACCATAAACTAGTTTACCTTCCTGGCTGAGTATCTGAGCCAGGGGTGAAATGCTACTGGTTCTGACCGGTTTGCTATAACCAGCAGCAAAAAATGCTAAGGTCTTCCTTTTTTTTTTCACTTTTTAAAGCATTTTTTCCCTACCGGTTCCAGGCGAATAGATAGTAAAAAAAATACTTTAAAAAGTGGGGGGAAAGGTTCCGATGATCACGCGGCACAGCTGATTGTCACGGAACCTTTCCCCCACCCACTTTTTAAAGCATTTTTTACTACTTATTCACCGGAACCGGTAGGAAAAAATGCTTTAAAAAGTGTGTGTGTATGGGGGGGAGATTCCGGCGATCATGCAACTCACAGCTGATCCGCGCGATTGTTTGAACCTCCCTCCCCCACTTTTTAAAGCATTTTTTACTACTTATTCACCGGAACCGGTAGGAAAAAATGCTTTAAAAAGTGTGTGTGTGGGGGGAGATTCCGGCGATCGTGCAACTCACAGCTGATCCGCGCGATCGTTTGAACCTCCCTCCCCCACTTTTTAAAGCATTTTTTACTACTTATTCACCGGAACCGGTAGGAAAAAATGCTTTAAAAAGTGTGTGTGTGGGGGGAGATTCCGGCGATCGTGCAACTCACAGCTGATCCGCGCGATCGTTTGAACCTCCCTCCCCCACTTTTTAAAGCATTTTTTTTCCTGCTGGTTGGGGTAAATAGG